AAAATTGAAGGAGCGAAGCAGCTTAAAGATTATCCACCAATTAGCCTTATCATTTCCACCTACAAGATCATTTCCAAGGTCCTAGCCTCTCGCTTGAAGGAGGTTCTTACCTTGGTTATTTCTCCCTCCCAGTGTGGTTTTGTCAAAAATCGCCAAATACTCGATGGGGCCTTGGTAGCCCAGAGTGTATCCACTCAAGACATTTAACAAAACTACCTGATCTCATTATCAAATTAGATTGGGAAAAAGCATATGACCATGTTCACTGGGAAATTCTGGATGAAATGCTTACAAGAATGGGTTTCGAAAGCCGATGGAGAAAATGGATGAAAGCCTATTATTCCCAACCTTTCTTCTCTATTCTCATTAGCGGATCACCTAAATGCTATTTCCCTTCTTCAAGGGGATTAAGGCAGGGTGATCCCTTTTCCCCATTTATGTTTTCCATTTGGGCAGAAGTTTTAGTCAGACCATCTCTAGGAATTTTACCTTTGGCAGGATGAATGGCCATTAATGTGGAAACCAGGGCCCTATAGTCACCCATCTCCAATACGTGGATGACACCCTTGTATCCTGCAATGCTTCCCCTCTCAAGTTTGACAGCCTTTTCATTTTTCTTAGATGCTTGGACTTCGCCACGTGATTCAAAGTAAACTTCAACAAGTCCAAGATAATGGGGATAGCTGTCGCTTTCCAAATTACCAAGTCTCTTGTAGATAACTAGAGTTGCGAGGCAGAAAATCTTCTTTCTAATTATTTGGGCCTACCCCTTTGCATTTGAAAACCAATAAAGTGCTTGTGGTCGCATATTATAGATAAGGTGGATCGTAAACTTGCAGACTGGAAGGTCCGCTTCCTATCCCCAGCTGGGAGGTTAACCCTCACCAAGACTACCCTTGCCAATATTCTCGTTTACCAAATGTCTATGTTCCACATGCCTGCAGCAATGATCTCTCAGCTTGAACACTTTTGTAGATTCTTTTGGTCTGGCGAGGCTGTGAACCACCAGCTGTATCAAACCAAAGAGGTTAGGTGGTTTATGTATCAAAAGCATAACTCGGCTTTACTCGGAAAATGGTAGTGGCGCCTTGCCACCCAAAGAGACCAGTTATGGATTGACATTTTGAGGTACAAATATCTCCTCGCACCTTCTTCTTGGGTGCCCAAGTGTAGGGCAAACAATAGATCATCCGGGATATGGAAATCGTTTTTCTCCTCTTTAGCCATTTTCAAAAGCCTCATTCACTTTCACCCTAGAGAAGGAAGAAAATGCTTCATTCACTTTCACCCTAGAGAAGGAAGCCAAGTTTGTTTTTGGGATGACCTTTGGTTAGGTCAAGAACCCCCCAAAGACTAGTACCAGATCTTTATATACTTGCTAGTTTCCAAGGGGCATCGGTGGCAAATGAGATAACTATTGCTGGCTCTTTTTGAACTTGGAAGCCTGTTTTCATAAGAGCACTTATTGACTCAAAAATTTTACATTTCTCTGACCTAGCTGCTGCCCTTAAAAATTGTTTCCTCGCTTTTTAGGGGCCGGACTCCTTATCCCTCTGGCATTTTCTCAGTTTCATTGTTCTACCACAAACTTCTCCAATCACACACCTTCCTTCTCACACCTACATCCCCTGCAGCCCAAGCTTGGTGCTCTTTCGCCCCTTCAAAAATTTAGGTCTTGATGTGGCTAGCTCTTTCCCAGAGGGTGCTCACTATGGACCCTCTTCAGAAAAGAGGCATTCCTCTCCCTAGTCGATGTGTACTGAGCATTGTGGATGAGGAGAGCAATGCCCATCTCTTACTACTTTACTCTTTTGCCCACAAGCTTTGGGGCAAAGTCCTTCGCCTATTCAAATGCCAATGGGTCTTATCGGCAACCATGCCCAACGTCCTAAACTCGCTTCAATCTTTGCCCTGGCCTAAATCAGACATTTTATTATGGAAGTCCTTGGTGGCAGCTACTATTAAGGCCTTGTGGATCAAGCGCAATAATAGGATTTTCCGGGGTGAACACACATCTGGGTCTGCCCTTTCGCTAAGATCAAATTCTGGGTTGTTTTCTGGGGAACCAACCACGAGCTTCAAAGGTGTACCTCATTGTGCCTTCTGTCAAAATTGAATTCTTCTCTTTCGACACAATCTCTTATCTCGGGCATCCCTTTGGAGACCTCCTGACCTGGGACAAATCAAGCTCAACTTCGATGGCTGCTCCCTGGGCAACGCCAGAGAATTGGGAATTGGGAATTGGGGCCCTTAGGGACCACAACAGATCTACCCTTGCTTCCATCTCTAAGAACATTGGCCCCGCCGACTCAATGACAGTTGAAGCTTTGGCATTACTTGAGGAGGTTAGGCTTCTCGACCCCCACAGGATTGCCTTTATTATCATTGAGGGAGATTCAAAGAATGTTATTGGTTGGGCGTCAAACTCTTTTCCCTTCCCTTGGGCCTTGGTTCCTATTTCTTATGAAATTGCACACCTATGCAGGGATATGCTTGTCTCATGATGGCATGTTTGGCAGGAATCAAACCAGGAAACCGACTCCCTCGCTAAGGACGCTATGTCACTGGATAACCCTCAAAACCGTTTTTTGGATGGCTCACTTTTTATGGTCTCTTTATAGATAGTTCATGTAATTAAACCATGTAAGAAAGGCCTATAGTTTGTTTCTTTACTACACCCCTTACGGAAAGGTGCCGTTTTTGTATATAGGGCTTCCGCTCTGTGGATAGCCTATTTTTTGGAAATCTTGTATCTTTTTAGTTATTTCTACAATGTTAACTTGTTAAAAGAAAGCAAAAAAAGTTCAATATAAATTGGGGTGTGGATGGGTTGGAGAGGTTCCTCTTTTTAGAGAAAAGACTGTCTTGGGAAAAAAGAAAACTAAGGTTTGAGCCCTAGGTAGAAGGAAGCCTTATGGTTTCTCCAAAATTCCATGTCGGGGTGTTTTCTTGCATTTCTGCTGTTTCGTCAAGTTCTCTACATCAGTTCTTGATCCCAAGTTTTTGGGAGCTGGATCCCTACTTTTTAGGGCCTGTTTCTAGCCATTTTAATGGGCAGCAAGAGGCCCAAATGATGATTTATTTGGATCTTAGTTGTGAGTCTACTTTATTTCTAATGCTTTTGTATGCTGTCAAGTATAGAATTGCAAATAAAACAGCTTGATATGCTTTTGGCTGTTGTAAAGTGTGAACTTGTAACTAAAGCGTATTTCAATAAAAAATAGCTCCCTTTTATAGTTATGGGTTATCCTGATGTGCCTGGTTGTAATATTTTTTTTTAATGTATTTAGTGCGTATCTAGTTGCATAAAGTGCACTCCAAAGGAATATAAAATTATTTACGAATTGAATAAAATTTAATTAGTATTGCCCATTTTTTATTATATTTTTGTGGGACCTATTTTTGTTGTATTTTATGAAATTATCTATTTTTTAATTTTAATAAAATTTTTAGAATTAAAATCATTATTTATTAATTAATTGAAAACCTTTACTCAATGTCCTTGACTTGCCGGTTGGCTCCTACCCTTGCTCCCTCTCGAAGCAACTAGGCAAGAGAGTATCACATTGCACTCCAACCTCAGCAAGTGCATGTGTAACGTCATTGGCCTCCTTGCAAACATGATGGGTAAAACTACACCTCGAATTAGAAATGAAAATTTCCTTATCTTGTCATTCTCATTATTACTATTTATTTATTAATTGAAAAGCCTTACTCAATGTCCTTGACCTCTCGGTCTTGCTCCTTGCCCCTGCTCCCTTTCGAAGCAACTGGGCAAGAGAGTATCACATTGCACTCCAACCTTAGCAAGTGCATGTGCAACATCATTGGCCTCACCTTGAATTCCAAGTGAAAATTTCATACCTTGTCATTCTCATTATTATGTTGGCATCACGAAGTTTGATGTCATATAGATTTGCAGCTGAATAGCCCCACCATAAAATCTATGTTTGATTTATTGTTCCCTTTTTCTTTTTCACACACCATTTCAACATCCGAAGTCTTCTCATCTGGGAATTTGCATTTACGTTCTTAAGTCTTAAGATTTAATTCGAACTTTCTCAATGTTGTTATGCCAGGGCTTATTACCTCAATATGCACCGCTTTATTGCCTATCCTGTTACACTTCTTAAACTTCCATAACCCATGTGTGCACCGTCCATTTTACTCTTTCGAAATGTACAACTTTGTTCAATTGGAAGCGAAGTTTTTGTAGGTATAATCTGTAGGGCAGTTGACCTGTCTTTCCATTTACTGCAGTATCCCTTTGTAGGATGGATGTATTTGAGGAAAGCAAAATGATGCTGGGAGCGTGGGGAAGAGGAAATATAAAAGCGATATAGGGAAGGTTTGGGAGTTTGAGCTGTTTTGGCCCCCTTTCTTTTTTTTCTTTTTCCCCAAAGAAACGATGTAACTACAAATAATAGTCTAATTGATAAGTATCTTATGAGCAAAAACCTTAAAAGCTAACTCGATCTGAACCCTAATCCATCTGAAATCTTAATCCTTATTGAACAATTCAACCCATAGTCCTCCATCTAAATCATTCCTTGACTCCTCTACATAGAAAACCAAACTAGCCTAGCGACGTATGTTAAAACCCTGAAATTAACTCTAGTGACAAACAAATACCCAAACTACTCCTAGAAAAAAAAAAGGTCACTGATAGAGTTACCAAAGTAACAATTTATGTTGCTCGCATTTATTTCTACTGTATGTTAGTTTGACAGAAACAAGGATGAATTGATGGCAAGTGGAGTTACATGGTATCTTACCTTTTCCACCTATACATGTTGGTCGGCATGAAGTATCTAGCGAACTTTTATCTTTTGTTGAATGGGATTCACTAGTTCTATCTGTTATGGCTGCTCTTTCTGATGATGCAATTTATGTTATGAACTGTTAGTGCGAAGAATTTAAGTTTTCTACTTTAGCTATAACATACAATACAGCTTTGGCTGTATCAGTTTAACTAATTTTATATTTTGAACATTCATCAGGGCTCCCCAGATTTGAAAGCTGCTAGAGAGGTTGCGAACTATCTTGGAACTCTCCATCATGAATTTAACTTCACTGTGCAGGTAACTGGTGCCCTTTTCTATGGTCAAGACACCAATAAAACTAATTTTTAGATGTGATGTTCTTTACACTACTGGATGGTTTGTCACTTCACTTACAATTCTAATATCAGGAGGGCCTAGATGCACTTGAGGAAGTCATTTATCACATTGAAACATATGATGTGACAACCATAAGAGCTAGTACTCCAATGTTTCTTATGTCCCGGAAAATAAAGTCTTTGGGTGTTAAGATGGTCATTTCTGGTGAGGGCTCAGATGAAATTTTTGGAGGTTACTTGTATTTTCACAAAGCTCCAAACAAGGAGGAGTTTCACCAAGAAACATGCCGGAAGGTGAGATACATGTAATTGAAAGAATTAGAGCTGTGCTTTCAGCCTCATATTGTTTTATGTATACTTGAGCTTCATTTCCCTTGACGCATAGTCCAGTGGATGATGGCGCATGGTACTCCAAGTACCATCTCCCATCTAGGCCCCTTGGTGGTTGGTTGGAGATTTACTGTACCTATTGGTCCTACTCCAGTTGATTTCCAACCATTTGTCAGTATAACAGATGGTGGATGGGCCTTTGAATATCATGTACCGTAAGTCTATTGGTCTGTGTTATACTTTCCCCATGGAAGACATGTTTAATTTACTAGTTATTGGCATCATTATGTTCTTATTAAAATTGATTGCTTCACTTTGGCTCAGAAAATGGCTGTTGTATGCTTTTCATGAACATTTCAGGTTAAAGCTCTTCATCTTTATGATTGCCTTCGGGCTAACAAAGCAACCTCAGCATGGGGTGTGGAGGCTCGCGTACCCTTCTTGGATAAAAATCTCATCAATATTGCAATGGACATAGACCCAGAGTGGAAGATGGTATGACATACCACAACTTTAGAACAATTTGGAGTTTTACATAGCCATGCCATGTTTTCTATCTAATATATATATGTCATGTGATATTAATTTGTGTGAAAATATACTATAATCCAATAGATTACGGAAAATTAGAGCCCACTGGGTCAAGCATTTCTTTATTACCATTTATCATTTCAATAGAGTCCAGAGTCATAACCCAATGGAATTTGGGTTTTTCATAGTCAATCAGCTAATAGGAGCCATGAACTCAAACTATATCTTGTAGGATTAATAATTTTGGAGAAAGACTTTCCCAAGAAAGTAGCGAAATTCTGGATTTGTGGGTAAAACCAAAATATGGCCCTAGTCAGCCATAGTCCCTTGACTTATGCGGAATTTTCACCCTAATTTTGCAATACACTGAATCTCATATATAAGTTTTTGTTTTTATAATTTAACACACTTTCTTGAAATTTTAGTATTAGAGTTTCAAATAGTTGGTTCTTTTTTGAACGTTTTTGGGAAGGAAGTGTCATTGGGTTTTCAAGCTCCATCTTTCCTGCAGCAGAACAGAACTATATTACAATAAAAAAAATTAACCTTACTTTCCTACATTTGATAATTTAAGTTTTAAAAGATTTAAGCTTGTCCTTTTGTCATTTATTCAACTCTTGAATACTCTGGCTTCCAAAAAGGAAAATCTTGACCAAGACTGAGTGAAATAGCTTTCAAAATTCACACTTAGGTAATCTGGTCACAGGGAAAGTATAGCACGATCCTCTTGAGTATTATGAATCTTCTTCCAAATGTGCATCCACATTTTTTTTTGATGAGGGACAGTGGAGATTAACTATACTTGGGTGTGTGTCCCGATGCCCCCACTATGGTCAATCTCCATTGTCAGTCATTAGGGATGGACAATAGATTGTTTGAGTACTTTGTCATACTCCATCGGGTTATATAACCTATGATTAGATTCTTCATTTTTTTTGATGATTTTTTCAAACTATGTCAGGTACGACCTGATCAAGGACGAATTGAGAAATGGATACTCCGGAATGCCTTTGATGACCCTCAGAAACCCTATCTCCCAAAGGTTTGTAAGCATTGATGCTTACCTCTATGATGAAGACAAAAGATGAGAAGTCCATCCGATACCTTGCTTTTTAGTCCTTGTTTTAAGACAGATAGATGTCTTTTGCATTTTTTTCAGCCTTAAGTTGGATGGGTTAATGTTCTCTCATCCCTTTTATTGACGGTATTCTCATTGCATGTCTTCTTCTTCCAGCACATCTTATATAGACAGAAGGAGCAATTCAGTGATGGCGTGGGTTACAGCTGGATTGATGGTTTGAAAGACCACGCTTCCAGACATGTAATTCATTTTTGCCATTTCTCCTACTTTTCATTTTTGAGTAATTCATTAAATCTCATATCTTGTTTCCAGCAGATTGTAGGTGAATGAGTAAATTCTATTTTCAGTCTCGTTTCTTTGCTTTTTGTTGGATAGTTTTCTTCCTCTTAATGCTGTGTACCATGTTATTCAAATTGAGCAGGTATCAGATGCGATGTTGGCACAGGTAATTAACATATTTCCTGAAAATACCCCCACTACAAAGGAGGCGTATTATTACAGGGCGATCTTTGAGAAATTCTTCCCTAAGGTAAGAAAAAGCTGCCTTTCACACATTCATCTCAGGACAGCTATTGAAATGTGAATTAATTCAAATAATTTCACCAAAGGGCCACTTGTTTAACACACACACACGCACAAAAAAAAAAAAGAAAAAAAGAAAGAAAGAAAGGAGACCAAATGGTTTTGTAAAATGACTTATCGCAGGTGTCGCAATGCTTACCCTCTGTTGCAAAGAGATGCCTTACCATCCCTTCTGTATGTCTGTTTGGAGAGACAGGTGTGGCATGGCAACTGCCTTCTCTCTTTCTGTTCTGAAATCAGGCACACCTTATCCCTACAACTGCTTTCAACATTGTCTATATATATGTATATGAGAGAGAGTGTGAGATGCAAACTCCTAAAATCATCTCTCAGTTCTTTTAAAAAAAAAAATCATCTCTTTCAGTTTCCAAATATTCTCTCTCTCAAAAGTGGTGCCTCAAAGTAATTGCGTGGCTCAGTCTATGGAGATAGAGAGGGGGTCCGAGGCCATGTATTTGAGTAGAAAAGGCTGGGGCATGGCTCTTTCTACTTCTAAGTAAGTAGTGTGGTGCTTGCTCCTTCTCCTGTACTTGGATTTGAACTCAACAATCGCGGTTCAACCTTTAGCCGAGCACCAAACAGCTCACTTATTATCATTATAAAAAACCAGTGTCTTTTTTCCCATGATTCAAAATAAAAAAACCTGTCGTTTTTCTCATTATTCAACTAGAGGCTTTATGGTTGCATACTTGTAGTATTCATTTAACTTAACCAGTTGTTCACTTGTGCTGAATTGTTTTTGGAAACAAACCTCACTGGAATACAGAACTCTGCACAGCTGACTGTACCCGGAGGACCAAGCGTGGCATGCAGTACTGCCAAGGCATTGGAATGGGATGCTGCATGGTCCAAAAACCCTGACCCTTCAGGCAGAGCGGCCCTTGGTGTCCATGCTGCCGCATATGATGAAGAACCCTCAGTCACAGTGACTCCTATTGGTGCAAACACCAAATTTGCCGGGAAAGCCATGATTGATTTGTCTCCAAATTTAGCAGATGGCATCATCAAAGCAGTTGTTTGAGTTATCTGGCTGACTTCCTCTAGTTTAGCAGCTCCGTGGGTGTGTGTGTTTTACAGAGAGAGGAGGTAGGCTTGTTCTTGAGGGCTAGTTTTGGTTGCTGTCATGATCGAGAAGTCCAGGGAGGAATTAATGTTCACGTTAATTTATTTGTTGTTTTGGACTAGAATTTAACGAGGATTACAATAGAATTGGTGAAGCTCGATCTCCTTCATTGAGATTGAGTTGGTGAAACTTGATGAAGCTCGATCTCCTTCATTGGGCCGCCGGGTGTAAGGGGGGGTTGGGTTGGCAGGCAGGCAGGGGAATTGATAAACGCAGGGGCGTCGATAATATTAAGTGCCATAAAATTTATAGCAACAGTCCTTGTTAAGTTAAAGTCGAATATATTTTTTCAAGGGAAAATATCACATAAATGGTCAAGTTACCGTCATATTAACCAATTTATATAAGGATGCAACCTTATAATGTAGAACTATACAACTCAAAAATCCATCGGAAAAGGTAGTTTTAATGTTGAAACACCTTTTGATTGATCATCTTGACATAGAGATGTATGATCATGAAAAATAAAAAGATTTGAAGTCTCAGAAATAGTGCATTTTACAAAATATTATCTACACCGTCCATTTTTGAGATTTTTCTATGTTTATAGGTCTACTTGATTTTAATCATTCTTGAAATTTAAAATTTTATAATTAGATATAAAAGTAGATTTTGAGATAATCCTGAGAACATTTTACATTAAAATTATATTTCGTGATAAAATTTGAAGGTGCACCTTACCTCTACAGCTACGGATGCATCCGTATGCCAACTGGACCAATTTAACATTAGAATGAATCTTCTAAAAGTTTTATTTCACTCAATGTACTTGAAAAAGATCGTCTTAAAAAGCTCAAATTCACCCAGTTGAGTTTTTGTTTTCGGAACGTATGAATAAGTAGGATGTACGAGTAATTTTACCTCAACCAAACGATGTGAATACAGGCATTGAAATTTGGATGATGATTTTCATATTAAAATAGTTTGGCAAAAAAGACGTACCCCTCTCTCTAAGATTATAAATACAAATGACTTCCAGTAACAAAAGCTTATGGATTACCCCAATTTATAAAAAAAGAAAAGAGAGATATTTAACCTCTGTCTTTACTTTTTTTTTATTGTCCAAATTACAACATTTACGTCTGTTTACTTAATCACCATGTTATTTAAAGTTCTTTCCCTCGTTTTTATTGTCTTCCCCACGTATGAACAACTTCGTCCTTTCTCTAACAACCTTATATGAGTACTTATATCTCCCTTTCATCTTGTGAACCTCACAAGTTAAAAGAGACATCACAAAATTTATTTATATGATGAGGTTATAAAAAAAGAGATGGGTAAGTGCATTAACTAGACAATGGTAAAAGTAAAGGCGGGGTTAAACGTTTTTTTTCTTTAATACGAGGGGGTTGGTTTATGGGCTTTTTATAAGCATGTGGGTTATTTGGGATAAGGATTTTAGATATGGAAGTATACATCTATTTTCTAATATTCATTTGTTCAGGATTGTTAAAATAGCATGAATAAGAGTATTTACATCATTTAACACTGGGCACGAGCCACATGCTCAATAAATCTTAACTTGTACAAATGATCCACAATAGAGTTATCAGATGAGTACTACAAGGGAATGGACTTTGATTTCCTAGATAGCTAGATCTAATCATCCATTCTTCATTCAAGTATACGGATGCCACCTAGTAGGGAAGTGCATTAGATAGAATTTTACTGGTGGGAATTCATGTTTGAAATGCTCCAATGGGAGAGTGGAAATTTTTCCCTTTATTTACTATTCTTAAAATAAGTTGCCCGAGAAAAACGATCGTTCCACCTCCACTTGTTTAGGTTTAGGAAATTAGAACCTTTTTTAAAAAAAAGTTTAAAATCCTTATTATGTGTTCCTAAGTATAAAAAAGGAAATATATTACATTACTCTTTAATTAAGGCCCAAGAAAAACTAAAATTTTATCCTCCATTAAAAAATTAAAACATGTACTCACGTTTTCATTATAAACCTTTTTGTCAAGTTCGAAGTTTGAACCGACAGGATATTGACGTCATTTGGGTTAGGTTACTTAAATTGTGCCCAGTTATATAGAGCCGAGGATCTAAGCAATCAAATGAGGGCTCACCTAAAAAATTTCATTAGAAGAGGTTTTTTTGATGTTCAAATATCGTCGAATTGACCATGTCGACATCAATATTAGAAGAGGTTATTTTGATGCTCAAATAACCTAAATTGACCATCTTGACATCAAGATGCATGGACATGAGAAAAAAAAATGGATTTCAAGTTTTGAAAATAGTACATCTTGTAACACATATTGGGACCGTCAATTTTCAATATTTTCAAGTTTTTATAGATCTGCTCAATCTACATTATTTTTTAAGCTTTAAATTTTATAATTAAATGTGAAAATATATTTTAAGGCTATTACAAAGATTTCTAGCATTAAAAATACATTTCTCAACACTATTTGAAGGTGGACTTTACTTTGATGGTTTAGAGCCTCGGCTCTTTACCAACTGCACCCTTATTTAAAGCTCCCCCTTGTTGAGGTTTTGAAATTTTGAATTGAGGAAATTTGGGTATTTTTAAATATTTTGTTTAAAAAATACAATTTTGGAAACCACCTCAAAATCACTAGATGATTATTTTCAAGAGAAAAGAATTAATTTTGAGTTCTCTAATGCGTAGAGCTTACCTTCCATAAATTGGATGCTAGCTATCCATTCAGTCTTGACACGTGATTTTTTTCATCTGCAATTTGGAAATTCTTTTATTAAGGTTAGCCGATAGGTTGAAGATGTTACAACCCCAAATTTTGAGTTCCTAAAAGTATGTCTATAGTTTGGTGGTTGCTTGAGTTAGACTCTTTCCTGTATTTTTTTTATTTCTTCTCCTTCCTGGATTCTATCTTGGCTTTGCTCGGTCTTACTCATCATTGCCATTGTTGGGTACCGTTTTAGAGGAGCATGTGCGCCACCCCAACTCCAGCCCTTAGTCTATTGTAAATGGGATGTGTGTGTTTATGATTGTTTTTGAATAGGTTTAGGGCAGTAGAGGATTGAGATGGTTCTCTTATTGCTTTTAGAGTGGTCTAATTGAACAAAGAATGCTTGTGTTGGTAAGCCGTTGAGATCGGGGTACTGTAGTTTTTGCTATTGTAATTTTAAAACTTTGTTTCTCTATTTAATGATAACTTTTCTTACTAGGCAAAGAGGCGAATGGAGTGGATCGAACGAACTTTGGAACTCAAGGGTCCACATTTGATGCATGTGAACAAAACAAACTTTCATATTGAAGTATCGAAATTGACGTTTGGAACAACTTCATAACTTTAAGATTCGAATTCAGCTTTTGAGAAAAAAAAAAACAAAACAACTCAAATTTTGTATGGGTAATTGGAAAAAATATAAAAGTTTGAGAACAATAACAATGAAGTTAAAATCAATTTTTTGAGAAGATTTTATTTTAAACTAAAATTTATAAAAAAAATCTTATTTTATTATCAAAATTTAAAAATAGTTATGTGTTTTCTATACTTCGCACAAGTTCCTGATAGTATAAATTATATTTTTAATTTTATTTTCTTTTCTATACATCACATTGAGCTCAAATTTGGGAAGTTGGTACTTATCACAATCTAAAATTTGTAAAAAAAAAAAGATACTGGAAATATTTTAAAATAAATATAATAACAAAACTACTAAAATTTTGATATTTATTGGGGCATTTTGCTCATTTTCATTAACTTAATTATAATTTTTAATTTTCTACAAGTGAGTTATGCAGAAAGGTATAAGTGCCCAAGATTTGAGCTTAATTGGATATATGCATAAAAAAAAATCTAAAATACAATATCCACTCCAAATGGGACTCAAGCATCAAATATAAAAATTTAATTTGGAAAATGGTTTGATAGGGCTGCAGCATTATTTAAAATAAGTAAAACCTTACCTCATAATTCATCAAAAACTACAATTCATTGTAAAAAAAAAAAAGGGTTTTATGCTCTAAAAATCATATATATTATAACAAATTATCTAGATCGTCTATCGTACCCTAAAATTGGGTGTTCATAGATCCGAAAGATCTTTACCATTTTTTGAGTGTCAAATTTTATTATCGGTGTTGAAAATTGTTTTAGATCCATCATGGAGATTTCGGCCGCCAAAAATGCTTTCCAAACAAGGAATTGAGATGAGGTTTTATTTTGTTTTGATAAAGTTAGGCTCTATATAGACTTCATCCTTTTCAATTTCGAAAAACAATTTTTTTCAATTTTCTAATCTTTAACCACAGTAATCTAGTTAGACACTGGCGACACTAGAGCGTTGTGTTGGATAAACATAACAGATATCCGTGGACTCTCTCTTCGTCAAAGATAAAGCTTTTTAGCCAGAGACCATTTCCAGCTGCTGCTTTAGTAGAGCGAGAAAAAAAGGGGTATAAAGGGCCTTTTGAAGAAAATTAGGGTTTTACTTGGAAATGCAGCGATGTCTTGCGAGCTCTCATTTCGAAACAAAGCAGCTCATTTCGTCTCAGACCTCACCACTGTTCTCCTCAATCCCATCTCTGATATAGAGGTAAGCTTTTCTTCACACTCTCTCTCATCATCAGACACCAAATTCATGGAGCTTAGGGTTTCTTCTCATTCTTTCTAGCTGTTTCAATCTAGTTTTTTCTGTTTTCTATGTCTATCTTGTGATTGTTTCTTACTTCTTTTATTGGGGCTCTAGTTTGACTGTGTCGATGGAGGCAGATAAATGATGATGCTTTTTTAATGATATAAACTATGTTTCCTTTTTTGGGGAAATTAACCAATGCTAAATCGTTGTGGAATGGAGCATATTTTTCTATGAGAGAAGTTACCATAGTGAACTGGGGCCTAATTCTTGGATTAATAAGGGATTTCCTCACTGTACACTTAATTAGGATGACAGTTTCCATTGCTTCTAGTTTGTTTTATGAGGCACTTCTCTTTCCTACCTTGCGATATTTGAAATGGCAAATTACTCTATTACTTCTCTCAATATTTGTGTGTAAGCTCCCACCCCCTATTTTCCCTTGGATCCTTTTTTGGTTGGCTGGGCTGGTTTCTAGGAAGGAAAATTCTTTTAAAGTTTGACATCACTTGGTGCTGGTAATAGTTAAAATTTAGATTTTAATCTATGGTACGAAATAGACAGTCTAAATAAACTTCTTTTCTGGTGTAATTCTTTGATTCAAGATTCTTAAATTGTTAAAATTGCTGGGTTTATGTGGCCTTCAAAGGCTTATGAGTGTGTAATGAAAAATAATTATTATAGTGGAACATAAACTCAGTGGGAGTGTGGTCACTTAAATACCATACTAAGCAAATTATATTTGTGGATACCGGACTGTGTTTGACGATCTAGGCTAGTCGATTGGAAAATCCAATGTACCTGGGCATAAAAATAAACCGAGAAGGGTTTTTTGGTTAGCCCTTGACAAGGTCGGAGCTTATGTCTAGATGAGTAAGCTGAGGGATTGTGTGACCCTTGTGTGTGATGGTAAGCCTACAGAGACGGGGGTCAAAACCTCATCCATGTTCCATCACACGTCATGCATATAGATAGATCGTTCGGGAAAGCTAGATATCCACCTTTGGATGAAACATATGCATGTGTGAGAGATACCCCTATGTGCCATAGAGCTGTGGACGCATCAGGTTCTGGTGACCTTGACTTGTCTCTAGGGGAGGACCTGTATTCCACAGACTGGGATTGCGACTCCTCCGCTCATCGATCAGATTTTGGTGACCCGTTAATGAGCTCCTGCTTGGACTGTGGGTCGTGCGAAACACTGGGTCGGTTCGATAAAGCATGTGTGGTCTGTAGTCCACAGTTGAAGGTGGAGTACCCCGTGATCGTTGATTGAATTCGTTAACCATATGGATCCACTTCTCATCATATTAATTTAATTGTGTTCATTTTATTACTAAATTATTTTTGATTTATTATTTGAGTTTTTATAAGTCATTTGATATTTTATTTCTTATTTTTGGGCTTATAAAAATGAAGTTATTAATTTACAAAGTTATAATGTTTTAAAATTCATTTTGTTTAATTTTAAAATATTTATTAAAAA